TTTTGGAGCTCATCAATAAACACCATTTAAAGACAATTTGGTAATATCAACTAAGTTGAAATTGCAAATTGGCCACCGTAAAGAGTTAAAAAGCTGACGTTTCGAGCGTTAGCCCTTCGTCAGAGCGTCGTCGTTCTGACGAAGGGCTAACGCTCGAAGATTCAGCTTTTTAACTCTTTACGGTGGCCAAATTGCAACATCAACTTAGCTGATATTACCAAATTGTCTTTAAATGGTGTTTATTGATGAGCTCCAAAATTTTTGCTGTGCACTGTGAACGTTTTAATATTCTGAAGATCATAATGGGCTGTAGTCAAACGAGAAGCATCATTTTCAGTAAAAAAAATCATCATTTCGCCTGGATGAATAAGTTTATATTTGCTGTACAGTGGGAGTATGATCTTGACTTATTTATCTGAAAACTGCAAAAAATAATATATGAAATTAAAAAGCTGAAAAGGAAGATCAAATTGGTCACATCTAACAGTTCCTGACTTGTAATACTTCCCTTTTTCATGTAAAGATAGGATTATAATATGACTAATGGAATATAACAGTCCATACCTTCTACGGGTAATACACATACGTGACTTGACGAATTAAAATCACTTTGCTTCAAATCAGTGATTCACTGAGATAGGGTCGTCTTAATAGTCCACAAAGAAATCTTGAGAGAGGATTGCTCTAAGTGGTTATGAGCTGATCGATAAACTCAGAAAATGAATGACAAATGTATGCTAAGTGCAAGATTCAAACGTGCGTGACCATTCACTTAGGTGCGTTACTCTTGATTTAAAATTTAAGCCTTGATCACGCTTGATTACACTTTTAATTACTCGTTGTCAACGTATAATATATCAGTGTTGGATTTATTACGGCAAGTCAGTTTCATTTTAAATCATCAGTTATTTCACTCTGCCCGTTCACGTTGATGGGAGGAAATATCTGTAAGTCGTTGGTCCTTTTTTCGTTTTTATTCTATTGCTCAATTATTTCCTTAGATCTATTACAATTATAGCCGTAATTTTTCTTTTTTAGTCGAATTATCATTTTTATCATCATCTTCAACGTAATCACATGCGTTCAATTTACTCATTTGACTGTGAACGTAGAATAATTTTTCTCTTTATAAAAATCATCTCCTTGTAGAATGCTTGACCAACATCGCTCAATGCCTGAAAGGGAACTCCCCCCTTTTGTTCCCCCCTGAAAACTACGTCATCCCCACAAAATCCTCCGACCCCACCCCAGGCGATGACTAACGATTGGTTTCTGAGAGATCTGCTCTTTTCACATCTGAAAGGCGATGATTTCTGATGTAGAATCAAATTGTTTTGACAAAGAAAGACTAGGTCTCTCATTAATAAATATGCTTTTTTTTTTTTTCTGATAGTATTTGAAACATTTTTCCGCTTGTCTGATAAACAGATTTTGAAGGTGTAATGAGGAAACATCCTGTGGATCATTACAAAAGAAAGAAAAGAAGTAATGCTCTAAGTCCAACCGTAGGAACAATAAATATACAACAAGTCCGCGAGGAAATAAATAACAAGCTCAGTGAAGTTTGTAAATCCTCCAACAGTATATGCCAGGCAGGACCTCCAGGACCACCAGGAGCCCTTGGATATCCCGGATATAAGGGAGAGAAAGGGGCCCCTGGAAGGGAAGGACCACCAGGCCCATCGGGGCCTATCGGAGCTCAAGGCTTGGGTGGCATAAGAGGACCCGTGGGACCTCAAGGAGTAAAGGGAAACAAAGGCGACAAAGGGTCTGTTGGAGCAACTGGGATAAAAGGAGAGACGGGAGCGAAGGGTCTTCAAGGACGAAAAGGATCTATTGGCTCAAAAGGAAATAAAGGCAACAAAGGATCGGTTGGTATTCAGGGACCGAAGGGAGAATGTGTTGTTCCCATGAGAATCAGTGTGTATCCAGTATCTCAGGAGGTTTTTGCAGGCGAGACAGCAATATTTTACTGTTGGGTTCAAGGCCAGACGTCGTCC